TTGATGGGCCAAATGGCCTGCTTCCACAATGTAGGCATTCTATTGAATATTTAATCACCTAGGAAACACTTTGGGACATCTTGTAGTTGTGAATGGTGCTGTATAAATGTATGTCTTTCTGTAAGAATGTGGATCAGCATAACTGGTCTCATCTACACATGTGTGCATGGGAAACAGACAAGATTATAAAAATACAAGAAAAACCTGCAGTAAACAAAGAAAATCTGACTGATTGCACAGAACGTATTGTCAAGGATGCTAATTGATAGGTGAAAATATTGTTGTTTAATCAGATTCACTGTTAACTGTAAATTTGATAATGACAGACATTAAATGTACTTTCTGGAAACAGAAATGTAGCAAAGGTAAAACAAGTCATTAAATTGTCATTTTAACCCTCATCACTGTTCCTGTCCTGAATGGATAAATGAATTGCCTGTTGTGCTAGTGCATTGTACTGACTAGGGGATATCAAGGTACAAATCCCATTCAGTGAGTGCTCAAGTTCATTGATCTCAGATGAGATGGGGGTAGGAATAGCAACAGTGTCCCTGCTTCAGGGAGGTGAAAATCGGCCAGGTATCATTCCTGTAGTATCTGCCGGAACATGTACATTGCTGCAAAGGTGATGGATTGATGTGTGATAGTCCTCATTCTCTGATGCCTAATGATGCCCTTTACAATAGTGACACCAGTGTGAGTCTAGTTTTGAGAAGCAGCAGCCTCATCTTAACAGAAGAAGGTTGTGACTTCAGGACCCACACCCATGACCTGAGTATGTTTGGACTGGTGCTTCAGTGCATTGCTGTGTGAATGCTGCACTGTTGGAAGTGCCTTCAGGCGAGATATACAAACTTTCATTTGACTTCTCAGATGTAAGACATCCCATAGCATTATTCAGAGAATTGCAGGGGGATTCTCCTGGCATCTTGGTCGACTTTAATTCTGAACTAACACTTTAAACAGATAATCTGGGTCATTTTCAATTCTCTTGAGTTGGATTTTTCAGAGTTATTTTGTTTTCCCTTATTGACACTGGTTTGCTCTCTGCTTTTATTTTATCTCTGTCTAGCTGTGGCCAGGCAGGCAGTGTCTAAGCCATGAATGTGGGGAGGCCTTTTCCTGTCCATTAACTCTGCATGCCTCCTGTATCTTCAAAAAGAACTTAATGGGCTGTAAGCACTTTGGGACTTCTTGGGATGGTAAACGATTCTAACAATTGCAAGTTATTTCTTTCCGTCGTTGAGGTCAAGCCAGGCTAATGCCACAGCAACCTCTGTAAAGGAGGGACACTGCAAAAATTTTTTTTCAAAAATGTAACAGGGTAGTATTAAGGCTGGGGCTGCATGGTGCTGAAGTATTAACTTAAGTAAACACCTGGATCTGAATCTTTGCCCCTTCCCCCTCTTGCCAACCCCGACATACACGCAATGCTTGCATCTAATTGTAAGGTGACACTGTCCAGTGTTTGGGGCAAAGGTGAATATAAACACTGGAGGGGATCACATTCAATGTGTATCAATGGAACCAAAGTAAATTCCATCTGCCAGGGTAAAGTTTCCACAGTCTCGCTTAGTGAGCAGAAGGAAAACAAATTAGAACAAATTAGTTATTGCACTTGAAAAAAATAAAGAAAACTATGTAATATTTGCAAAATGAGAACTGGAAACTTCTGTCTTTTAAAAATGTTATTAATTACTGGTCGCTTTGCAATTCAAAATTTTGTTTAATGTTTCGACCATAGGCTTTCCATTTAAACACGTGGGCATTAAAACATGCTTTAAAACCGACCACGTGATGCTTAATACACTGTGTGAGCTACAATTTGAAATCATTTCGTCAACTGGGTGAAATGAGTGAGCTGACTGCCACATAGTGAAAATACAAATCACTCTCAGGCACTCTGCTTCCCTGTAAATCTGCCTGCAGCGTGCCAAAAACACAATTAGGCTTGAAAGGTGTAATCCAACTCAGAACATTTCAGTGATACCCCCCACCCCGTAAAATAAATAAACTGCCGGACTGTGTAAAGTTTAAGCAATCTTTTAAACTTGCAAAGGGCGAAGCAGTATTTTGACATATGGCCTAAAACGAGAGGAAAGACATTCTCTGAACTACCGTTCTCTCTCACTCTCTCTTCACATCTGTGGTGCACAGCCCCAGGTTATATTTTGATGTTTTGTCCTCTGCTGCCGTGCCGCACATGTGTAAACTTTAAATTTGTCCGTCTTTCCCTGTTGGCATTCTCTCTGGATTCTTTTGAACCGATTGATGAAGCGTATGAAAACATTTCTATGCTTCTATTTCTGCCCCTCTTTAGCGTAATCGCCATTGTCAAGTTGCAAGCTTAGTGTGTCCTGTTTTATGCTCTCTCCCACATTAAAAAAAACAAAAACCCACTACCCCGGGGATGTGAATTTGTTATAAATAAACGACTTCTTGTTTGAACAATAGTTCGTATTCTGTCAAAGACTCAATGGGTGGAATGTCCAAATGGTCACCTATTATAAAAGGTGAAGGGCACCCGGAACTACCGCTATCGGATCATTTACATAACTATCCTTTTATATCCGGTGGAACAGACACTTGTGTGAATCCTATTTTGTCGTCAGTGCTGTAACGTCTTTGCTGATTATCTTCCAATGAGTGACCTTTTCAAATGAGATGCTGCCAGAGATTTATTTTGCCTCATCAGCCATCACGTGCCATGGCTTACAGTAGACCGAAATACCTTTTAAAACAACATTCCCCGATCATTTTAATGTTTTTGTTTATTTTGTTGAAGATGTTCTAGTAGAATATATGGTCGTTTGAATATTTTGAATCGATACTTGGTTTTAAAATTGTTTCAAAGTTTTTGTAAGGCTCTCAATGTTTATTTATACCCTTTTTGCTGGTAGCCCACCAACTGAAAGCCAAATTTAATCGCGGTCTGACAACAAATAAACAAGTTTATTGTTCGTGGAGGGGAAGCACAGTTAAAGTTTCGAGTCTAGTGACCCTTCAGATTGTCATCATTCGGCAGTTCTTTGTTTTATTAAAGTTTACCGTTCGTCTCTGAAAGCACAAAGATAAACTAAAATGAAAACGCTACCCGTCAGGGATTATAAAATTAAGACATTTTCATAAAACGTTTTAGTTCAAAATAATCTGCATTGCAGATTAGTAGTCTATTGAAATGCGTGCTTTGTAGGCAGCTATTTTCTTCGTGGTTGCTAACCCACATTTCGGTCTCCTTGTACATTTGGAATGATTGGTTCCTATTTGGAATTAAATGCAGACGGCATCCCTTTTACCTGTTTGAAATGGCACAGTTTCAGTGTGGAGTGAGATTCTCCATTACTGGGTAATGAGTGAGATGCCACGTGTAAAGATAGGTTCTGTGTAAATTTAATTACAAGCATTATACATGGTAAATTCGTAAACGCTCATACAAGCAGGACGAAGATTTACCTTCACCGTATGTGCGGTTAAGGCGATTCTCGTGATTAAAAGGAAATCCTAACATTGGTCTCTGATAAGAACAATCAAGAGATATTGTCACTAGGAGTTAGTTATGGGAGGGAATAGAGTGGGGGGTGTATTAATAATTGAGCAGAATGATAACTACTATTGCCGCGGAAAAAGCGTTATCTTCGAAAATCTGCCACCTATATTTGTCTTTAAAAATTCATCTCAGAACGAAAATTGTTAAATGCCTAAAGGCTAATCCTAGCGGGAGGAAGGGAAGGGAAGAGGATTGTTGTGGGGGAGGTGGGCATTCAACTGACCAATACCGGCGCTGCCACCTCTTTCCTCCCTATATCTGCGAGTATCAATGGACCACCCACCATCACGACACTGGAATGAGTCTCACTGCCCGTAATTAAAGAAATGCCTGAAGATAGGTCTGATCTATTAACAAAACAGAAGTTCCATAACCCCTTAGACAGAATGAAATATGACCTTTCAAACAGACCGATGCGAAAATTAACTGTTCTGTGATTGCCTGATACAAATGCTGATATACTTCGGTTTTGCCCAGTCCCTGATGTGGAAATAAATCAATCTTTTTAGGGGGGGAACCGAGATGCAGCATCTAGTCCTGGCCCCCCACGTGGGATTTTGATACAGGAGCGATTGAGCAAAGTAACAATGGCAACTTGCACAGCGCGCTCATGCCCATTGTTACATCACTAGGTTGCCCAGGAGACGGGGTCCGAATCCTGCGGTCAGCGGAGGGAAGGGGGCGGGGCGATGACCCCCAGGCTTTGGGGGTGGGGAAGGAGACCACGCCCTCTCCCCCCCACGGAGAGGACAAGGGATCTTGGCCCATACAGTAGAGGGGCGGGGTCAGGCCGGTGAGGAGGGGGGGATAGGGCGAGGCCAAGGCGAAAGGGGCGGGGAGGAGGCGGGACTGGGGTCGTGGTAGAAGGCGGAGAGTGCCGGCGAGGAGGGGGCGGGGCTGAGGTGTGGGCGGGGT